ATTTAGAAGATGTTTTTACACACTTCTTTATAGTATAGATGATGGATGACTTTATACTATGAAAATACTTTTGAGATATATGTACCTATGTTTGGAAAGATTATTTTCAATAGTTTTGTGCGTATATAGTGGTCCTTATTATTGACCTTCGGGTTGGGTGTTGTAGGAGCCTTTAGGCGATGATACATATATTGACTTTCGGGTTGGGTGCTGTAGGAGCCTTCGGGCGATTGATACTTATATTGACCTTCAGGTTGGGTGCTGTAAGAGCCTGCATGTGATTAATACTTATGAAGGAAGTTTCTGAAGGAAGAATTACTGATACTGATACCACTATTTAGCACATTATATACAAGATATGCTTTCTGAGATGTTTTATGGCATGCTAGGGTTTTCGAAAAACCTACCACTTATTATGCTATTAGTTTTCATAAAGCTTTGGTGGTTAGTATGTTGATAATTGTTTTATTATATATATATATCAACTTGGTCCACTCATGTTTGTTTTGCGACCCCTCAGGACTTAGAATCAAGGCGTACGATCCTGGCATCAAGGCACTTCTGCATCGGCTTCTTCGAGTCATCTCTAGGTGGAGGACCCACTCCTTTGTTTATTTAATTTTTCTATTAATTCTTTTAGTGTTCTAGATTAGATGTGTTCTCTGAACACATTGCTTAAATGCATATTCATTATATTTAAATTTATAAGTCTTATTTATTCCTTGTTCTCAGCATTTGCATTCAATAAATGGCTTTCGTCACGCTCAGGTGTCGGCCAACACGTGCCTATCCTGGTGTTCGGGGAATATCGAGATCGGGGCGTGTCAAATGGCCTATTATTGGAATCGTTAGATTAAAAAGAGTCGTTGGCTCGGCTAGTGCAAGTGGCCGACATGCAAATGTCGGTGGGGCCATGTCGGTCTGTCCATTGGTGCATGTAAAGCGTACGCTCGTGGAAAGGTAAAGTTTGGTGCTCAAGCGCCGATTCCCAGTCCCACTGGTGGGGCCCACACCAATTTCTTGGCGAAACTTAGGCCAGTTTCTGGCTTTTTTTGTAGGTTTTAGGTTTTAGGTCCAAATTAGAACTTGGGTTAGAATGGATTGTGGGGGGGGGGGGGAATAGAAGGGGAATTATAGGTTTGGAGCTGTTGGCTCGGCTGGTGCAAGTGGCCGACATGCCCACATGGGTGGGGCTATTACCATGTATGTCCGTCTGTTGGCGCTTCTGAAGCGTGCTCACGTGGAAAAGTGGAGTCTGGCGCTCAAGCGCCAATTCCTAGTCACGCTAGTAGGGCCCACATCAATTTCTAGGCTAAACTTGGATCGACTTCTGGCTTTTTTTTTAGGTTTTAAGTCCAAATTAGAACTTGGGTTGGAATGGATTTTGGGGTGGGGAGGGAGAATAGAAGGGGAATTCTAGGTTTTAGGCCATGGGTTGGAGTTAGCCTAAGGGGCAAAGAAGTAAGCTAAGTCTCATAATGGGCTAGCTATAATGTGGTTCAAATTCATCTTTGGCGAGAATCGAACATCTCACTTACAAATGAAGAGAAATACTACTAATCCGTAGCACTAAGTGACTCGATAAAATCACTTTAAGACTTTATATACAAGCACATAAAGGTGTTTCTCCATAAAAATTCACTTTCCAAATAAATCCAAATTACCATGAATGGAACAAAGTTTAATAAACTAAAAACTGCAGTAATTAAAGTAACATAAAACCACAAAAAAAAAAAAAAAAAGGTAGAAAATTGTGCACAAATCATATTTGTGACAAATGATCCACCCACCAGCCATAATCTCCTTCCTTCTGGACTCCCTCTTCATTATTCCATCATCTCACCCAGTTGAACCTCCAGGCTCCAGTCACTGGATGACGATGCAGAGTACCTGCTCTCACCTCTGATCTGCGCATTTCCTTGTAACCAACGTCCCTGATCGATTCTACCCCTCCACCTTCATCATCATCCTCGCAGATCTCTCATCATCCTTGTAAGCGTTAAACTAGATCTGGGTCTTTCGAAATCTTCCATTTTTTCTCATGGGTATGTTGTGTGCAGGAGGTGTTTGAGATCTGCTGTTTCGTTATCCATGGATTCAAGAAATTTCTGTGCTGTTTCCATGGATTCTCGAAATCCCTGTAAGATAACGTTCAAGAAGCTCCGGAGGGAAGAAGAACAAAATACGCCTCCCCAAGACGCCATTGACGTCCCTCCATCTTCTTCTTCCACTTCGTCAGATTCGGATTCGGGTTCGGATGATGAAACCCTTCGAACCCATCTCCAATCGAACGAGCTGGTGCTGTATGACCCTGCAACTGCAGCCGCTAATGCCAATGCCGCAGACACAGTGCATGACAATGCCAAAACCCTCATTTCGTCTCCGTTTGATCGCCCGAACAATCCAATGTCGTTTCCATGGACATATCCGTTTAATCAGCCACCTAGGGTTTTGCCGTCGGTTGGGGCTTTCACTGTGCAGTGTGCTAATTGCTTCAAATGGAGGCTCATTCCATCGAAGGAGAAGTATGAGGAAATTCGTGAGCACATTCTGGAAGAGCCCTTTTACTGTGAAACTGCACGCGAATGGCGGGATTTGGTGTCTTGTGATGACCCGGAAGACATTACTCAGGATGGGAGCAGGCTCTGGGCCATTGATAAGCCCAACATTGCTCAGCCCCCGCCTGGTTGGCAGCGATTGCTCAGGATCAGAGGTGAAGGAGGCACCCGATTCGCAGACGTGTATGTAATCTGTCGTGCAACATTAGCATCAGCATTGCCAACATGCAACTTAGTTTTGTGACACTCCCATTTTTGTGTGTTCAGGTACTATGAATCGCCGACAGGCAAGAAGCTTCGTTCCTCGGTGGAGATCCAGAAGTGTGTTTCTGTGATTCTTGTTTAGTTCAGCTTGATTTTCTTCACTCATTTGGTTGATAGTTAATTTATTATGCTGGTTTTGAATTTTCAGGTATTTGCTTCAACATCCTGAGTATATGGATGCAGGAGTTAACATGTCACAGTTCTCATTTGTAACTCCGAAGCCTTTGCAGGAAAATTATGTGAGAAAGCGTTCTGACAATTACTCGAAGAAGCATCCTGCTCATTTGACAGACTCTGCTGAAACACCTAGACTTCTTGCACCTGGTGAAGAAAGTATGACCTTATGATTTCTTATGCAATGTGTACTTCTGTGCTTTTAAATGCATTTTTCTAAGTTGTGGCTTTTGTTTTCTTGTGAGTCGATAGAGAATGGCATTCTTTCCTGATGAGTCTGTACATAGTGCGTGCTATCCCGATGAGTTTATATATAATGGCATTCTTTCCTGATGTTTAAAGCCAAATTATTGTCCTAATGAGTGAAAACGCTTCCACTGATGCCTGCTTGCTGAAGTCTACAGTATCTGTCAAGAAAAATAGGGGAAGACATTTGTTGGAATGCCTTGTGTATCTTGTAAAATATTTGGTTTTTGCTTTCTGGTATTTTACTTAATAGCTACAAGGCACCTTGATAGAAAGGTTGGTCAGTAATGCGTTTGGAAATGTACACTCGATAGGAATGCTGCAAAGTGTGATGTCATTGCCATATTCTGTTCATCCTATTTCGGCACATCTATTTGGTTTAACAGAACTTTCTTGCTTCTTGGACATGAACGATATAATGACAATTAGTATAAGGTAATATATGAAATTCAGGGAGGGAATGAAGACGTTGACATAGAGACCTTTTGATTTTAGACGTCCTATTTCTTCAGGGATGGTATCTTTCATTGCTTCCAGAAGAAGAATTAATAACACAAAACTAATAGTTTTGTCTCTCTACTGCAGTAAATCCAGTGGCATGGGTTGGTCTAGCTGACGGTCCAGAATTGCAACCTCGTCGGCTAGCACTCCCTCCTCCAGAAGCAAGGGAACCTCTGTTTGATCCCTCTGTTCGACCGACAAAGAAGCGAGCAACAAGAACTCCATCATCAAAGACTTACAAGGCAGATCCGAGCATTAGCACGGAGTCAAGTCCAGAAAGACCTGATCAATCTTGAAACAGTACTCATCTACAGAGCTGCCACCAAATAGTCATTATTTGGTGACTGAATGTTCATTTTGTGTTTTCGGCCTTGGTATGCCTATTAGTACACAGTCGTATACACAGTATATCCGGAGAAGAAAAGGAAAGGTTTCGAGCTCGTGTGAGGAAGAAAAGGGAATGAAAACATTTTGGTGTGTAGGAGTTTTGTAGGGTTGATTTCCTTTGATATGTAAAGAAAAAGGGGACATCATAGAAAGGAGATCCACTTTGTATTAAGCCATGTCAGATCCAAAGAACAATTTCACATGTATATGGATATGGCAGTATTTATTGATGCACTCCAAAAGTGGTTTGTGAGTTTTGAACTTTTGAGGAAGAGATTTTTGGAGTGCAAAGTAGCATCTCTGGTGTGAGCAGTCAATTGGTCCTTTGGGAGGGAACGTATTTTTCTGTTCAAGATTTTGACGAGTCACGTTATACCTACTCTCGCCAAGTAGGCAATATTTCAAACTGGATTGGTTATTGGGTCCCACTAAGTTTGTATAAGACATTTTTGTCTATTTAATTTGTATATTTCATTGGACATGTTATTAGTAAGCCAGGCTAAGAACTTGTTTGATATTTGCTTTTGAAATGGTTAAAGGTGTGCTTATGACTGCATTTGGGTTGCAAAAGCAAGTTCTAGAGAAACAAATGTTGGATACTAAGAAGCATTTCCAAGTGTTTTTTAGGAAAAGTAATTCCAAGTAGGAAACACTTGCAAAACATTTATGAATAAAAGTGTTTTCATTCAGAAGCAATCAACCCAAATTGAGTTTGGACTTTTTAACTTAATAAATTTTAACTTATTCCTTCTAGAATCCTATCTTACGATATCTTTTGAGTTTTTCAGTTAATTGAAGTTATAGATATTCAAGAACATTTACCCTTGCATTCGAGATCCTGTACGGAAATTCTTCTTCCCCCAATATTGCTAATATAAATATATAAAATTAAAATAATAAAAAATAAATAAAAAAACACACAGAAAACACAAAATCCAAATGCCGGTATTAGTTTACATCAACATTCTATTCATGTCGTGCAATATGCTGCTATCTTTTGAAGCAGAACAAAATTTGGAATGTACCTACACCTTCTCCCTCCCAAACCAAACAATGCATTACTTGCTGCAGACAACTATGGAAGCGAGTTCGGGATCAGAAGCTCCACTGATTACAGCACCTTTGCTTCTAACATGTAGCAGATAATCCAAAGCTTTCTTTGTGATAGTCTCCCCCGGGATTATTACCGGAATCCCAGGCGGATATGAACATATAAGCTCCCCACAAATTTCCCCAAGGCTGTTTTCAACCCTCACTCTTCTTTTACCACTAAAAAAGGCATCTCTAGGAACTAAGCTTGTTTCAATTTCTGCAAAGATTGCAGACTCACCAACTCCTTCCACTTTCCTTTTAGCAGCCTGAGTTGATGCAGAAGCGGCCACCAGGTGCTTTATTCCCGATAATAACCTCTGGACATGCTCTCTACAGGTTCCAAGGTTAAGTGCAAAAGTAATGGATTGGGTTTCAACAAGTTCACAAATGATTTCATGATCCTTGTACAAGATTTCATCGGCTTCATAACCGGACAAGCCAAGCTGTTGGAATCCTATGGTAAGCCGCAGGGGATCAGTTGAAGGGAAATTAGGGAAGCTTTGATGGTCGAGAACTGAAATACCTGAAATTTTTCTTATCGTATTCTTCACTTCAATGGCCAACTGTAACGCTTTATCAAAAATATTTTCTGGATTTTCACTAATTTGAGCTCTAGCAGCATCTAATGATGCCAGAAGCAGATAACTAGGACTACTACTTTGAAGCGTTTGAAGACATCTTGAAATTCTCTCTCTATCTACAATACTCCCAGACATATGCAACATTGATGATTGTGTGAGAGAGCAGAGAACCTTGTGAGTGGATTGAACGGCTAGGTCAGCACCTTGCTGCATGGCCGAATATGGCATCTCAGGATGAAATCCTAGATGTGCGCCATGAGCCTCATCAACAATCACAGGAATTCCATGAGAATGGCACAACTGGGTTATCTCCCTCACGTTGCTGCATATACCATGATAAGTGGGGGAAGTGACCAAAACTGCAGCTGCTTTTCGGCCTTCTTTCTCCACTTCCTTGATTGCAGCCTCTACCTGTTATAACGAGCAAATTGGGTCATATACAGACTAACAGAAAATCTTTCTACAAGCGAAGAAATGCTTTGAAAGGTACCAACGTAGACTTACCTGTGATGGAGTGACCCCACCAGCAATGTCCCAGTGAAAATTATAATGCGGGATGATGTACTTAGGTACTGCACCCGACAATATCATAGCAGATATGGCTGATATATGCGAATTGCGAGGGAGAATTAAAATTTCTCCAGGGGAACATGTAGCCATAATTGCTGCCTGAATTCCACATGTGGTTCCTCCTACAAGGAACCATGTCTCGGTTGACCCAAAGAGACTGGCCGCCTGTTGTTGTGCTTCTAAAATGGGCCCTTTCGGGGAAAAGAGGTCGTCAAGATCAGGAAGCTCAGGCAAATCATGAACAAATGGCTTTAAGCCAATAAGCTTAGTTAAAGAAGATGGTGCAGCTCGACCTCTGTTGTGCCCAGGGAAGTGAAATGTAGCAGCACTTTGTTCAGCTGAAGCCTTCAATGCAGTAATCAGTGGAGGGGAGCTCTCCTGCTGAGAAACCTGAGAGTTGGAAATGACGACCTGATCCTTCGTGGCAGACCTGGTTTTTCCTATCCCACTAGTTTTATCTTGCTTCTTGATTGGCTCTAGATTCCCACTTTCCTGCAAGAAGATTCGAAGAATAAACGGATGCAGACGTTACTACCCATTAGAATCTCCTCCAGGCCATCTGTGACCTCCATTGATGTCCTCATGTTTACTCTATTCATGATAAACAAACTTGTGAACCGGAGCACACAGTTGTTTCATAAGCTTATAGAGAGCAATTTCCGGCGTTAAACAAACCATAGTGAGAAATCATTTTCCGGCTCTAAAGCATACAATCCAAACTTAAACTGAGCTGCTAACAAATTCACCAGAAGTTTCCAAAGATTGTTTTCAACGTTTTTCTCCACAGTAGTGTTCTTCAGACTCAGAGATTATCCCTCGAGTCTAGACAATGGTTTCACACTCTTCAAGACCAGCATTTTATACAAGTCATGGACGGAGCCAATGAAGGCTCACTGGGGGCAGATGCCCCCACTCAAGTAATTTGTTTGTTTAGTTGCAGACTACAATTATATAATATACACGGATTATCTTTGAAGAAAATATATGTATCTAATATCCAATATACATTCATTCTACTTATACTCCATATCAAATATTATTTAAGCAATAGTGCTCTTGTTCTGTTATTCAAACCGAAAAAAAGCCCTCTCCCACCTATCATGTACTTATATTTTTCTCATCACTTTGCCACTTTCCACTACTACATTGAAATTTTTGTAACATTGGAATTGTGATACATCATCAATTGAAACCATCCTTAATAAAGTTTTCTTAGTTGCTTTCGGTTGCCCCCCACTAGAAGAAATTTTTTACTCCATCCCTGATACAAGTAATAATCTACAACATGGATTCTTAACCACTCTAATATTCACTATTCTGATTCATCCTGACAGAAATATCGATAATCTTCAACATACGAAACAAAACAAAAACTATTCATTTTTCATAGCAAACTAGGAAACAAAATGGATAACATTATCCGCAGACGAGGAGGAAAAGAAAAAACAGGACAACGAAGAGTACACGAGAGTTGGAAATTTCGAACTGGGTTCTTGCCAAAAGAAGGAAAGATGAACGAGGTAGTTGCGTTGACAGAGCAGAATGTATAGATACCTGGGACTGGGAAAGACAAGCGGTTGGTCTTGCACAAGTCCTGAAATTCCAGTTATTTCCAAGACCCAAATGAAAACTACTCTGCAAAAACAACTCAGTCAATTAATAACAATGAGAACCAACAGATCCAGATCGAGAGAGAGAGAGAGAGAGAGAGAGAGAGATAGCTTACAAAGTTTAAGGACGATGCTGAGGAAGTTGAAAACATGGTTCAGTGGTGGCGGAGACACCCCCAGAGTGGATGTTTTTCGTAACATCCTTTTTTTTTTTTTCTTTTTTTTTTTTTTTTTTTGGGAACAAAGGAAAATGATCCGATTTGTGAGATTCCTCATTTCTCACACGTACCCATGGGGCAGAGACACAACATTTTTTCAGCCGTCCTTTGAGGTTACAATTTTTTTTTTTATTTGAACAAACGATATTATCTACACTTAACAATAATATGGTTTAAATTCATCTTTGGCGAGAATCGAATATAAGACCTCTTACTTATTAGTGAAAAGGAATATCACTAGACCGTAATATTAAGTGACGACAATATCTTATTAACTAGACATGACTTTATATGAAATTAGTAGGTTTTAGGTCGAGACTTAATGAGTTAGGTCGTTATCGGGTCAATTATTTAAGTATTGGTTAAAATAACGGGTTTGACACGATACGATTTGTTAAAATAATGGGTATAACATGAAAACAAAACGAACATGACAAACCACGACCCGCTTGCCAGGCCTATTTGAAGTAGACTCTACTGATGAATTATTCATGAAAGTGATTTTCACACATTCTTTTAAAATTTTGGCCGCCAAATTGAATATATCAAACGAAAACAAATGACAATATTAAATAAATGTATGTGAAAAGTAAAAAAGAATGCATTTATCATTTTCCATTAATCAATAGGGAGGTCAAAGTCCTGCACAAAATGCTTTTTTTTTCCACCGAAAAGAACAACATACATGTGTAGACATCGAAATTTCGGTAAATAAATGTTGACCGATAAATCAAAGTTTCAGCGCTCATGTATTACATAAATTTTACACGTAACGTGTGTCTAAACAAAAAATCGAGAATCATCGGAAAAGTCATCAAACAGGACACGTGTCAACACCTGGCAGAAACGACTTATTTCATCTGGAATATTATATTCAAAATTAGGCCTTGGAAAATTCTATAAATAGAAGCCAATTTCATTCATTTGAGGAGGAATTCATATTACACTTTGAAGCTCTGAAGCTCTGAAACTCCGAAGCTCTCAAGCAAATCCCGAAGGATCAAGAAAGCCCTTTTCATTCTTCATCAAATCCTCCTTCAAGATCAAGCCCCAACGGCCCTTGAAGAACAATCCACCGATTCAAGATCAAGCCCCGACGGCCCTTGAAGAAAGTCGTTCTTCGTTCTTCGTTCATCATTCTTCCAAGAACAAGCCCTAACGGCCCTTGAAGAACAATCCACCGATTCAAGATCAAGCCCCGACGGCCCTTGAAGAAAGTCGTTCTTCGTTCATCATTCTTCCAAGATCAAGCCCCAACGGCCCTTTAGATCAACAATCATCCACCAATTCAAGATCAAGCCCCAACGGCCCTCGAAGAAAGTGTTCTTCGTTCTTCGTTCTTCGTTCTTCGTTCTTCCAAGATCAAGCCCCAACGACCCTTTACACCAACAATCATCCACCAATTCAAGATTAAACCCCGACGGCCCTTGGATCAACAAGCCACCATTCTTCAAGATCAAGCCCAAAAGCCCTTGAAGATCCGTTCATCACTGTTCTTCAAGATCAAGCCCAAAAGCCCTTGAAGATCCGCTCATCACCATTATTCAAGATCAAGCCTCAACGGCCCTTGAAGAAACACTCATCCTCAAGATCAAGCCCCAACGGCTCCTTGAAGATTCGCTCAAATCCACCTTCAAAGATCAAGCCCACGACCCTTGAAGAAACTTCCAATAGTTCATCCAAAATCAAGCCTCCACGGCCCTTGGATCAACAAAATATCCATAAATCAACACCTTACGGAGATCGAATCAGATGATCAAAATAGAGAGAGATTGTAACACCAAAATCATCAAATACAAATATTATTTTGTGCACGTTGTTCTTGTCTCTTTCGTTTCAGGAATTTTCCATGTTCACAACATGATTAAACAAAGGTGTGATTAAGGTGGAAAAAGGTGTGTGCTTATCATTTTTGTAAACAAATTGCCTTGAAGAATAAGGCCTTCTTCTTTTCCCTATTTTTTGGAGAAATGTCTTCTTCTTCAACCACCTCCTATTCTAACTTAGATTAGTAATATCGATTTTCATTAAAAAAGAAAAAAAAAATAAAAAATAAATAAAAAGACATAATTTTCTGAACGCCAATTTCTTTTGTAGATTGGATCACTTTCATTCTAGTTTGAATGTAGTGGATCACTCTAATATGGGCCTAAATTACCTCAACTCTCTGCATAATTTGGATAATATTGGGCCTGTAGTTCTGGCTTTTCTTCTGGGTTTAAATCGACTAGGCAAGATACACTTGAACCCAAGATACCTCATGTTTTAAACTTAAAATATCATACTTCAATTTACGAATCCATTGCAATGTCATACACCGTTAAAAATGAAGTCAATTTATTTGTTAAATGCTAACATAGTAATAAATTAATGATATATCATCAAATTTGTGTCACGTGGTAAAAAAATATTTTTAATAAAGTTTAAAATAATCTAATAATGCCAAAAACAAGAAAATATATTTAAAATATAAAAAAGTTTAATCATTTTAAAAGAAAAAGTTGCTGACCTTCCCAGCACCCATCATCCCCGACCAACCCCAACCCTCTCGACCCTCCGCTGCGCAATCCACGAGAATCATCCAGCCAAAACAACCCCCCCCCACCGAATCATCCACACCGCAATTACATTACTCCTCAATTTTTGGGGTTTTGGCGATGAGAAAGGAGGTGGAGAACGGCGAGGTTTGGCAGCAGAGGGAGGAAATGAGAATGGGTGAGTGGACTCACCAACGACTTGGCACTGATCGCAGTAGTCGGATCGTCTGGAGCGGGTGACTCCTCGTCCACCACATCCGTTATGGCATCAACCATAAAATTTGCTTCATGGAACACGTGAGTCCATGAGATGTGCTCAAAAGGCCCGACATGGAGTTTGATGTCCTCAACAATATTCCTCGCCCTCCAAGGAACATACAATTTGTAGAAATCAAAGTTCAATTTGTGAGTCCATAAAATTTCCAATTTGTAGAAATCATCACCCAGCGGTGCCATCTAATCAGCCCCTCTTGCTTCATGCAAGCTACATAATTTTCCTTATTGGCATTATTGTATTCATTCGCCATATTAAATGCCAAGAAAGCCACTCTAGAAGGGTAAGCTTTTGCATTATTAAAAACAATTTGGTTTCTCATCTTCCAAATCTGCCAACAGACTACAACTGCTCTGATTAGCAGGCGGTTTCACTTTTGTACTAAATGTCCAAACTTGCCGGGCACATTCACGGTGAATAAATAGGTGATTTTGGTCTTCAGGATCCACATTACATAATAAGCATATATCACTAATCGTATTAATAAACTTATGGATTTTACTTCTACTTTGAAGCTTATTTAGGATCAAGAGCCAACTAATCTTTTTTTTTTTTTTTTTTACTTTATTAGGAATATTTAGCTTCCGCATTCTTTTTAGCAACTTATCCTTCAAGGCTTCCCAAATCATGGTATTTTGAATCCAAGTTGCAGATTTTACACTAAAATTTCCATTAGCATTCAAACCCCAACATAACGAATTATTCTTGTCATAAAGTGGTAAAGGAATGCTCCATATCTTACTGGTGATCTCCTCATCCACCAACTCACTCAACAATTCTCTATTCCAAGTCCCATTTATAATGAAGTGGCTCACCCTACGGCTTAAGTCAATAGGCTATGGAGCGAATTTCATTAATTTAGGGCCCAAATTGTAAATATATTTTTTTTAATTTTATAATACTTTTTATTATTTTCACATATTTATAAATAATAACAATTTTTAATTAGTTTTTTTGTCCACGTGGCTTAAACTTGACATCTATATCAACAAAAATATGGGTTTCACATTTGCTACATCATTATTTAACAAATAAATTTACAAAAAATTTAACGGAGGTGTGACATTGCAATGAATTTCTAAAATGAAGTATGATATTGCAATATTTAAAAGATAAGATATGAGTTTGTTATGTGACCTAAAGTTGAGGTGGTAAAATGTAATTTACTCTATATAATTTGATAAACCAATATATATATATTTTTTTTTTTGAGTAAATTACATAGAAACCCTTCAGGTTTGAGGTCTATTACAACCTCATACAATATCTTTAAAACATTTCACTTTCATACCTCACGTACTATTTTATTTCAAAACAACACCTCCATTAGATTTTCCATCCAATGGTCTATTAAATGCTGACGTGGCTGCCACATGGCAAAAAAAAAAAATTATACATTAACAATATTATAATATTAACCCTAAAAAAATAAAAAAAATAAAATAAATAAATAAAATAAAAAAAACCAAAAAACCCTAACCCAGATCCCCTTCCCCAACCCCACATCTCACCCCCACCCCCTTACCCATCTCTTCCTTCCCGTCCGTCCGTCCCCACCCCCTTACCTATCTCTCCCACTCTTCTTCTTCCTCCACACCAACCCCAACACACTCCCTGACACCCTTTTTTCAATTCCTTCATTCCCTCTCCTTCTCTAGGTTTGAACTTCGAATTCCACCCATCTCCGCCTCTTCCCCGCCACCCTCTGCCTCCACGCGTCTCCTTCCCCAAAACCATATCCCTCTCCACCTCTCCCACCTCAAAGCCCCCACCTTTAATCACTTATCTGTTTTTTTTCACAAGTTTTCTTAGAAACCCCTGCAACCCAAATACCTGCAACCCACTACCTGCAAAACCACAACTCGCAACCCACTACCTGCAAAACCACAACCCACAACCCATAACCCAAATACCTGCAACCGTCGCCTTGGGGGTCGCGAGCTTATCATCGACGGGAAAGGCAGAGGTGCCTAGGTGGGTCGTCGTGGGGGAGGGGGTCACGGCAGGTGGGTCGTTGCGCCCGGGGGGTGGGTCACAGCAGATGGTCGTGCGCGAGGGGGTTTCACAGCAAGTGGGTCGTCGCCCGGGGGGTGTTCACAGCAGGTGGTCTATCGCGGGGGGGGGGGTCACGACAGGTGGGTCGTTGCGCCGGGAGGGGTGGGTCACGGCAGATGGTCGTCGCGCGGGGGTGGTTTCACAGCAAGTGGGTCGTCGCGAGGGGGGAAAGGCAAGTGGATCTT